GCCTGATGCAGCGTACGTTGCTCCTTGGCAAACTTGAGCAAGACTTGGATGTGCTCCTCATCATGATTTGTCCACAACATGTCAAACAGGAGTTTGAAACCTTCCAGAGTGACCTTTGCATCACCATGCCAGTGAGCGGCAAGATGCCACCCCAGCCGTTGTAAATGATGCAGCTTGCTGTGGTCCCTCTGAGTACGATGGAGGTGCTGTTGCAATCGTACTTCAACTTGTGCCCAGTAGGCTTGTCCTCCTTTGCGCCAGATCCAGGGTCGACCAGGATCAGCGAGTGGTCGATTGACATAGGTCAGCTGGGTGCCTCTCCCCAGCTTTGGGTTATCAATGTTTTGCAGCACATATCTTTCAATCCTGCTGTACAAAGCTCCCGCTGTCATGGTCAGAGGATCATTTTGGCGGTTCAGCCAGTTGACATCAGGAACATGTTCTGGTATCTTGGTCCACTCAGTGCGAATCTTCTCCAACCTTGGCGCGGGGTTGAATCGCACAATTTGTTGCAGCGAGATGTGTTCCACACCTTTGTCCAAACTGAACTTAAGGAGCGCGTGTGGTCGGAAAGGCACAATCCAGTCTGCTTCAACCCGCAAATCAGCAACCAAGTAGTCACTTGCAAAGCCCCAATCAATTTCCCTGCCTGTGGAGCAGGTATCCTCACCTGTGGCAATGACTTGAACCTTCATGATTGAGCTCATGGATGTGGTCATGAACTCCTCCGGCGTGACATTGAAGTCGCCAAGAACAATGACCGGTTTCACCAACCCTGTAACAAAGGTGAGCAAGCCCGACCAAAGCAACGTGTTAGTGGCTCCCTGAATACCTTCTCCACATTTGAAGTGCACCATCATCACTATCAAGTCCAGGCTTGCGAAACTCCAATGTACTGCATACCACCCACAACCATCGATAATCTGTTGCTGAACGAAATGGATGTGCTAGTCAGTGAGAAAAAGGACAAGCATGCCCCCATTGGTGCCCCCTTTAGGGCTGACTGCTGCCGGGTGCCCCATATAGAATTATATATATATTAATCGAAACTATATATAATATATTTTTTTTGTTTGTTAAAATTTATATAATTCCTTATAATATTATAAATATATATTTCCAATGCTCAATTTATAGAATAAATAAACAAATTTCTATAATTAAAAATATATTATAAATATAGAAAACCAAAAAATATTGATTTTAAATAATATAAATCATATTTTAAATATTTAAATATATCAAAATATTATAAATTTTAAAAAATATATATATATAAATATATTTATTTAATTTAATTATTTTATAAAATTTAAATATTTACATTATTAATTTTAAACCTCAACAATAAAATATATATAAATATTAATAGGACCAATAATTATATAATACATATATTTATTTAAATTATATAACTAAATATATATATATTAAAATATATTCTATTGTATCTATGTTTTTATATTTTTTACAATATATTTCTAAAAATCTTTATATTACAATTTTATAATAAATAATCCTTTTCCCAACATTCCAAATATAAAAAAATTTAAAAGCCTAAATAAATTATATAATCCAAATAATTAAATAATATATATTTTTATATCAATTTCAAACAATTATATTCAATTATTTAAATATTATATGGGAATTAATCTAAATTCCTTTATCCGGGATCCGTCATTTTCGCCAAAAAAAAAATTATTTTCGCCAAACTTTCGCCTTCCTGCGTTTTATCTTTCGCCGAAGTACGTTGTATTTATGTGTACCATATATATTATGTTTTGTTCACGTCAATGGCTTTTTCTTTACTAGCAAACACAGAATAGAAATTTCACTGTTTGTCAACATGCGTCTTCTACTTAACTATTAACACCCTATACGTCTCTTTTGTTTCTCCTAGGTGTCAGCAAAACTCAAATTTGCAGAAATCACTATAGTAACCGGTCACTCAAACTTATTTATAATGGGTTAAGAATCAAATATGGCAGGGTGAATTTTCGCCAATCTTGAGCTAAACTTTCGCCGAATTTTCGCCTTTTGCGGGGTAGAATTTTGTGGCAAAACAACCCTCCAAAGCAGGAGCAGGAATAATAGTAGTAGTAGGAGTAGTAATAGTAGTGGTAGTGGTAGTGGTGGTGGTAATAGTAATAATAGTAGTAATGGTAATAGTAATGGTGGTAATAGTGGTAGTAATAGTAGTAATAATGGTAATAATGGTAGTAGTAGTAATAGTGGTAATAATGGTGGTAATAATAGTAGTAGTAGTAGTAATAATCGCAGCAGCAACAGGTTATCTAACTTCCACAACTCATCTAGCTTTTAAATCACTACCACCAGCTATTCAGAAAGCAAATAAACATTCATACAAGGATACATATTTAATCTTTCGCCAAAAAAAATTTACTTTCGCCAACTCGAGAAAAAACTTTCGCCAAATGAGATTTTAATATGTTCCGGATCATCGTCATACACACTACTAACTAAGACCTTTAGATCGACAACCATATATATTTTAATTTTTTCATTAAAAAAATAACAATTAATTAAATAATTTTATATATATTTATTATTTGCAATAAAATATAAATATTAAAATACATAATATATTTTTAAATATATATTATATTATATATATATATTGTAAAAATATCAAATCAATTTAATTTATAAATTTTAAATATTATGGCCTTTTGACGGAAGACCAAATTTCCAAAGATCAATCAATCGTCTAGTCCGTTCTTAAAGATACGTAAATCCCAGAAGATCGATAATCTTTTGCTTCGATTCATGGGCCAGCGAATCACAAAATTGGTGATGATCAATGTTCGTCAATCCACGCTACATGCAATCCGCTAGCCGCAGCCATTGCACAGAAATTTCGACGTGGATTTTGGAGACGATGCAGCTCTGCCTTATGAACGCAGGCAATGATTGCTTTATGAACTCCGTGTTTCAAGCCCAGATGTGGGCAAGCATAACGCACCGTTCATTTGCTTGGGACAGCATTGGTGTTTGAAAAATGCTCCCGTGAGAGCGAGAGCGAGAGCAAGAGTGAGAATGAGTGTGAGTGAGTGTGAGCGCGAGTGTGAGTGCGAGTGTGAACGTGAGTGAGGAGTGAGTGAGGGTGAGAGTGGGAGAGAGTGGGCGCGCGTGTGAGGAGTGTGAGAGGAGTGGGAGAGTGAATGAGTGTGAGTATGAGTGCGCGTGTGAGTGAGAGTGAGAGTGAGTACGAGTGGGAGCGAGTGTGAGTGTGCATGAGTGTGAGTGAAGAGTGAGTGTGAGTGTGAGTGAATGAGAATGAGAGTGAACATCTGAGAGCACAAAGTACTGTGCCTGCCACGAAATCTGCATTTCGAGGTTCACAAAGCGCTGCGCCTGCCACCTACCACGAAATCTGCACTTCGAGGTTCACGAAGTGCTATGCGCGCCACAAAATCTGCACTTCGAGGTTCATCAAGCGCTGTGCCTGCCACGAAATCTGCACTTCGAGATTCACCAAGCGCTGTGCCTGCCACGAAATCTCCACTTCGAGGTTCACCAAGCGCTATACCTGCCCGCGAAAGGTTCACCAAGCGCTGTGCCTGCCACGAAATCACTTGGAGGTTCACAAAGTGCTGCACCTGCCACGAAATCTGCGCATCGAGGGTTAGAGTGCTGCGCCTGCCACGAAATCTGCAAACGAGCCACATGTCCAAAAGTCACGGTTCACTGCACCTGTCACGCAATCTGAGCTCCTCGACGATCACCACCATGTCCAAAGTGCTGCACCTGCCATGAAAACTGCATTTCGAAGTCAAACACCTCCGATCCCTTGCACCTGTCACGAAAAGTCGACTTTGGAGCACCAAAAGCACGAGGTTTCCCTTACGCCTGCCACGAAAGTGATCACCATATGCGAAAATGCGCACGGCGCCACAATGAGAGCGCAGTCGTTAGAAGCACCCGCCGCAAACACCCAGATTCAGCGAGCCTGCGCAGTCGACATGCACATTGACGATGTCGAGAGGCCTGAATGTGCTGTAAATAGCAACGAATTAGCCGCACACGCCCGCGCGCTTCAGCGATCCAAGCATCAGCTGCTTTTCTACTACCGTAAGAACCCCTAAGTGTATCCACACTGTTTGGGGAAACACAATTTTAGACCTGCTTCTTAATAGGTCCGGGAGGCTTGCTCCTTCGCACCGCCGTGTCCTTTTGAGACACTTTTCCATACATGGTACATGCATCATGCACAGGGCCTCCAGCATGCTGCGGGGGAGTTTGCGGGTTGGTTTCGTGAAGCCCTGTTTTCCATTGACTGCTCTTGGGAGGCAAGGCTTGATCGAACGTTTGAGGACCAGGGTTTGCTGTGGGCACCGATCGTTCTGCCCTGTCCGCAAAAAGCCGACTGCACGCTTCAATCCTTGATCATGGCGTGGCACACTCAGGAGCCCTTTTGGTATGCATTCGTGAAACATCAATGCACCATATGCCTTCAGATTGCACGTTTTCCCACCAAGCCAAAAGAACACCACTCATGTTCGTTGGGATCGCTCTGAGGTCATGCTCCCGTACAGTCTGGCAGGGTTTTCGGATTGCCATTAAATTTCAAACCGAATGTGATGACGGAGAGCCGACGTGGCGTATCCGCCAGAAAGCGGAAATGCACAGAGATGCAAACACCTGTTTTGGCTTGTGACTAAGGATGATGTTAGCACCGGCTGGCAAACACCACTGCCTTCACAAGCTGTCAATCCCTTTCGTCAGTTGGCAGCCAGTTTTGCATAGATCTTTTGACGGCACAGCCGATCTGGGCCACTGATGCTCTAGAAGCATCCGATTGTTCGTCCATTGATGCCCAACACAGGCAAAGGATGACACTCTGCTGGAAGTGAATGAATGAATGAATGAATGAATGCATGAATGAACGAACGAACGAACGAAGGAATGAACGAACGAACGAACGACCGACCGAACAAACGAACGAATATCATATGGTATTGTATTTATATGTATTTTTCTTTGATTTGATATTACAATTATGGTATTCTTTGTTGAAGCCAAAGTTTGGCCTGATTTACAGTAATGAAAATGATTCCGACAGTTGTCCAAATGTTTGAAACCTATATCTTCTAGTGCCTCCTCCAGCATGTCAAAGGATAATGCATGTCCAACACCACGGAAAGCTAGCGATCGGACACCTGAAATCCGGGCAAAAGGCAAATGCAATTCGCTCACAAGGCTTGGAACGCATGATATCACATGATTGTCAAGCTTGGGCGTGAGCTACAACCAAGCTTTCGAAGCTCATCTGTGCAAGTAGTCGCAAATCCAAGCGGGCACAAAGTGTCCTAAATTGGACGCAATCATTGACGTTTTTCAATGAAGCAGCAGCAAAGGTCCTCTCGCCCATGACCTTGCGAACATTGCCGTGCAGTGCTGCGCATATTTGTCAACACCTGAAAAAATGTCTGAGGGCTCTGACATTGAAGGACCTGCAAACCATCCGCTCCAGTTGCCCATTCCTTGCAGAATTTGCTTCTAACCCGTAAAGCAAACAATTACAAACAAAAGTGCATCAAATGGCGAAGCAGCAGCTCAGTCTCGGTCTGATCCAGAGCCACAAAGGGTTTTGGGCGATGCCCATCCACCTGTGAAGCTGAGACCTGCCAACTCTCAAGGGACAATGCATTACAACGCAGTCTTGTTTAGTCTTGACGTCATCTCCACCTTCAGTGCCAAATAGCAGCAAGCCGGCAAGGCATCGAGGAACCTGAAGGAAGGGATGAGAGAAAGAAAGAAAGAAAGAAACAAGTCTTGGACATCGCTGCAACTTCCATCTATCACGCTGACATTCTCATCTCTTGAGCGGCGCATAGACATAAAGCATCATAAAGCAGCATCGTTCTGAGATTGGCGCCTGAAGAGCCGTCCATGCTGCCACTGTCCCTCCCATAGAGAACCCCGCGAGCACCACACGCTCAGGAGGGATGCCCCACTCCTGACCTGCACAAGGCGAAGCTTAGATGTCAAAACTCGATTGAAAAAACCGTGTGATGATTCTGACAGCGCAAACCAAGGGTGATAAGTCATAAGGCAGCTATTTATATAGATGATTTTATTGGATGTTCACGTCAGTCTCCTGAGATATAAAACGGTGGTCATGACCTCCAGGGGCACCTAGAATACATAAGGTTCCCACCCATGACCTGCAAACTCCAATTTCAACTACTCTGCCAGGCTTAACAATGGCCCTAAAAGCAATCCTGACATGTTCCATTTCCTATTGGAGAAACAGAGATGGACAATGAACGCATCGTATGCCGTTGTAGAATGGACAAACACGCAGGACAGAATCAAAATCTCACGGGAACCTAAACCATTGTGTGGTACGTCACGACCCATCAGCTCTTCCAAAGGATATAGTCATATATAACAATATATTATATATATATATATACCCCGCAGTGTTGAGTAGAACAGCACAAGGTTTCCATGCTAGTCCGCACGTACAACAGCCGGGGTGTAAAAAAGAACACACATCTGAGAGCACGCGCACGCACGGGAGAACGCGCAGCGCATGAGAACATGAACATGAGAGAACTGGTATGCGAGCGCACATGTTTTTTAATGAAAGCACACATATCACATATGTATATATTTGAACAAACACCTGAGAGCACACAAACGAGCCAGCACACACGTGAGATTACAGGGGCGAGCACCCTCGATTTGAAGGCACACTGTAGGAGCCCACAGGGTGTCCTTTCTGATCCTTTCTGTTTGGGGAAAAACGGGCGCGCAATACAGCCCACCTTGCCTTGAGAACTCAACAGAGCCAACAGCTCGGTGCGGCAAGCCTGTCACATCTTTACCGAATCTTCAACCACTTCACTCAGCTCCAAGCATCAGCTTCTCTCGACCTCCAATGACTCGGCTTTTTTGGCCGACCGGGTGTGGTCAAACCAGGCCTGAAGTTTGTCCAAGAAGGGTAGCTGCACAAGTGCAAGTTACAACGCAAACAATGAACAGAATAAAAAACCCGCAAGAAATGAGTGAGAGAGAGAGAGAGAGACACACACACTTCGGTCGCGCATTGGCGCCCTTTGCTCTGTTCACTCCGGCCAGAAAGATGAATATGAGAATGATGTTTTATGATTTTGTCCTTGTACTCTTGGTGCCAAGGCGGCAAGGATGCTGAGGAGGTGCTGCTTCGGCAACTGGATACCCCTCGACAGTTGCTTTAAGAGGTGCTAGATTGCGCTTGCTTGGAGGTTCCAGGTTCGGGCGGCTCTTGGCCGGTCAACACGGCCAACTGGCTTTGGCTTTCTGGCAGGTGATGGCGACCTGGTCGGCGCACGCGATGAAAAGGGTGAGGCTCTTCGTGGTCCTGTGATGCAGCCCGCTGCGCATTCTTTCATCAAAGGCAGAGATGGGGCCCTGAGTGATCTTCCAGGAGTATTGGGGAAGCGTGACGCGTTTGGATAGTCCCAGTTTTGTCGGGCGAGCTTCGCGTCACTCCAAAGACAAAGATCTAACGATCACGAATGCCGAAGTTCATGCGTTTCTTAGATACACGCATCTGCCATCTCAAGATATGTCATCTGGCAATTTGGCATGGAAGTTCATTTAGGTATGCAAGGAAAAACAAATGCTGTTGCACTTACTTCTACGACAGTTTGGCTTGCTTGGACCAGGCATCATACAGGCATGCTAGGCTGTTGGCAGGTCAAAACCAAGCAAGAAACCGTTTCTAATCATCACGTATTACACTCACCTGCCGTTCGTGTCAATCATCTGTATCTCAGAGTCAGGCAGGTCCAACGCCCCAAGCATCCTTGTGAAATCGAGATAGTGATCAGAGTAGTCGAGTAGGCCAAGTATTCTTTCCCAGCATACTGAACTGAACTCAGATGGACTCAACCACTGTGATTAATTGAAGCAACGAATCTAGTTACGCTGTTCCCATGCAAAACAAAGCAAACATAAATAACAAATCGACCACCCTCATCAGCTCCTTATGTTCCAGGGCTGTGGATGTCTGGCTCATGCAATGTGTGCGCATTCTGGCACACTCCTCTATGCTACGAGTACAGTGTTTCTTGCAAGAACATAACGCTACTTCTAGGACATCGTCTAGCTGGAAAGTTTCTTCTTGCAACTTCTGTTGCGCGTTCGTTTGGTACCCCAAAAGAATGTTTGTGCTGTGAGGGCTCTGGAAAACCAGTCAGTTCAAGCAACAGCGACAGATTGTGGAATCGAGCAGTGATGGAAGTACTTGCCCCGTGCTGTTTATTTTCGCGTTTCACGGATTTCTTATGGTGTTCATCTGCAGATGCTAAACCTTTCTTCTTTTGACTCCTTATGGCCTTATGGTTTACGAGGCTTCGCGCGGCTTAGCTATGCTGTGGCTACTAGATACCACAGGTAGATATGGGTAGGTGATGGTAGGTAACTCCTGAGTCCTGAGCACCTTCTTTAAGTCGAATTGAATTATCATGAAACATCTGAAACGAGTGTTGGCGGCTGGTTTCTCTGAGCTCTCCAGGCGCGGGTTGGCGCTGTTGGCATCACCTGAAACAAAAGCCGAAGCCATTTCAGATGCGAATCAGCTTTGTCAAACCGAAACAACCAGATTCCACGAGCTGCGGGAAACGGCACACGAGCTATCGCACAATAAGAGCTGCAGGCTGAAGTGATGTATTCTGTATTCTGTGCATTAAGCAATTAAGCGACCGACAAAAAGCACATGAGGCAATGAAGAAGAAAGATCTCTGACCATGCATTCCAGCATCTGCGCTGACCTGAGAGAAAGGCAGAAACAGAAAAAAGACAGGAGGGAGGGAGGAGAGGGAGGGAGCGAAGGAGGGAGCGAAGGAGGGAGCGAAGGAGGGAGCGAAGGAGGGAGCGAAGGAGGGAGGGAGCGAAAGAGAGGGGGAGAGAGAGAGAGAGAGGAAAAAGAACACAAACTGAGGCACACCTTGGCATACCATTGTAGTATTATAGTGCATTTGCATCGCTAAGCCAAGAGCTGGAATAGCCTCAGAACAAAAACACTCCCAAATAAGCTCGGCACACATATAATTAGGTTTGAGAACAGGACCCGTGGAGAAAAACCATCAACGCTGTTGGCTGGCATCCTGGTGTGTGTAAGTGCACTTTAGTTGAGATCGTCCTCTCAAAGTAGCGATAGTCGACACCCAAGATCGTCCAAGCCTGATGGCCGCATTAGAAGAACCGGCCGCAATCGATCCAGGGAATAGAGCCAGAGTCTGTGCGCTGATGTGGCCTGCAAAATCTTGCAGTTGGCTATTCAGGCTCGACATACCTACTAAATTCATGTATGTCCTGCCTCCATCTCCTCACAGTGAACCTCTAGCCCATCATGCTGGGCTTGAAGGCAACTGGCTGGAGACGTCCCTCCCATCCTTAGCCACAAAGATAAGTTTAGACGTTCATTGCACAGGTGCAATGTTCTCGTTTTAAACACTGTGGGCGTGACGCAAAAGGACCCGGCAGCTTCAGTTGCCGCCTGGCCTGACATCTCTGGAAAAGAAGTACAGCTTAAAGCTGAAAATGAATGAATAAGAGAAACCAAGAACCATCAAACAAGTCGTTCATTTGAAAAAAAAAAAACATGTGTATATGTTGTTTGTAATTATCTACAAACACTGCTTCTGTCTGCATGGATTCTGCGTGGCAAAGGATTTACACCAGAATGAATGGTTTGGTAGGAAGGGTAGAGTTGAAAATGAAGGCTATTCCTAATTGGCACCGTGCAAGTAACTACTGCTCCAAACCTCACCTGGGCAAGAGCTCCAGGTTCGAGTGTGGAAAGAACAGCACGTTCCTCCCGTTCTGGTTGTTTCGGCTGTGCTGGGCAGGCATGCTTCGAGTTTCTCCGCATTTCGCGACAAACACTAGTACAAAATGGTCATCTGGCTGCTGCTGTTTAACCTTGGCAAACAAAATGGTCCTCATCACTCTCGGCATCCTTCTTCTGAAAGATCTGGCAAAGGGCCACTGCCTAGATGTCCAGCAAGCATGCTGACAGGTCTTGTCTCACGAATCCCTCACCTCCGAAGAAAAAGCAGCCTTAGAAAGACAAGCCGACAGCCAAGTAATTTTTGTGTGTTTGTCAACACTACAGCCAACACTAGTCCAAACTAGTAACGGCGATGGCCTCCAACCTAATAGCGATGGCCTTCAACCTAATAGCGATAGCTTCTTAGCCTAATAGCGATGGCCTCCAACCTAGCTTTACACTATGAACTGCAGTCCACAGGAATCCTCTGGGTGTTGTACTCGGGTGCCCTTGTGTCTGCGCTCTCGGTTCAGGAGAGTTTCTGGATCGGCCCTCCATCCCAACCTTCATGAGAATCTGATGTCTTTCTGATACTTGAAAATACAAGTAGACCGCTGCTGTGTCCTGGCTTTACATTTGCCGGCCACAAGGCCAAAGCTTGAGGTCCGTGCAGCAATGCAAGCAAGTCAAGGTGGCCAGATCCTCTGGTTGCCTCAGTTCTGCTGATGTCAGATGAGAATATGCTGAAATTCATCCATCCGGCCCATCACGTAAAGTTGACTCCACCTCTTTGAGAACCAAGCAGAAGCTGCTTCCATCAATAGTGGCACATCTGCACGCGACCGTCCATTGGGATCAGCTCTATCTCGAAGCAATGCTTGCACCTGACAATAATCTTGCAGAGTTCGCTGTGGAAACTTTGTGAACTCAGTGCTAGAAGTAGGTCGCAACATGTGTGAACCTGAAAAAGGTTGCAACTTTCGACGGCATTTGCCAGCTCCGAGGCCTTGCAAATGGACAGCAAACACGACAAACATCTTTGTGACAATGCGAATTTCTCAACTGTCCATCTGTGAGCCACACCAGGGATGCTGCAGTTTGGCTGGGTTCTTCAGCCTCACAATGAAGCTCAAATCGAACAGAAGCGCATCTGACGGCAAAGGAGCTGGCCACTGGGGCAGCACGAACAGGTTCAGATTTGGTTGTCTGCTTTGCCTCCGCTGAGAGAAGGCGAATCTATTGAAATAAAAACAAACTCTGGCCCGAAAGGATGCAACTCTGCACTGAATGATCAAAGCAACGTCGCCTGCGGTTTCTGCGCAGGAGATGCTTGCGCTTGTGCCTCTTTGGGCAGATCTTGTGATTCTTCAGGAGGACAAAGCCTTTTGCAAAGAACGTAACAACCCACCAGCAAATCATAGATCAAAGAACATCTAAGGAAATAGCAAGTCAATGTTTGCTTGCCTGGCGGTGAAATACACGTGTCAAATGTGAAAGCATCAAATTTACTGTAAAAAGAAAAACCACGCAGTACCCACTACCCACACCTTACTAGCACGTTTCTAGTGCTGCCATCCTCCTCGATGAGTTCTACCTAATCAAGTGCGCCGCATCCGAGACGGTCAACTTTGGATATGAGAGATGATCAAAACCAAGTCTTCCCCAAACAGGATATCGGAATTTTGGTGAGTAACTGTAGTACAAGTTTGGTGAGCCTCGTGTCCATTCCCAGCTAAGACAGTGCATTGGCGACTTTTATCATCCCTCAGATTAGTGCGGTCAGTTTGCGGTGTATCTGGTTGTTGATGGATCAAAGTCTCGAATGATGCCTGACAAACAAACTTAATTGGAAGAAAACATAGTTTTCCTTTGTGTAATGTGCTTGCACTTGCAAAAGAGAATTTTCCTGCCTATGCGGCCATTCAAGTCCTGTGTGCTTTGCAACCCTGGCGTGCAATTGCTAAACAACAAACATAGTATGCAGAACGTTTCCCAGAAATGTAGGAACCAAATAATTAAGCCTCAGGCTTCTGCGACCTAGCCTAGTACTGTAGCGCCTGGCCTACTTACTAGCTACTCTTAGGCCTATCCCCCCGGCCTAAAGATCATGCTTTCAATGCGTCGGAGTGCCTGTGAGTTCCACCATCGCCCCTCCACCATAGCTCTCATTGGTAGACTTTTGTGACTGCACCTAGCACCAATGCAAACTCTCCATCAGAGTTCCATGATGTATGGCAAAGGATACGTTTCAAAAATAGATAGCTTTTCAAACTCAAACTCTCGGACCATGTCAGGCCCTTTGTCAGCGCTTCGAGCTTGCCAGATGTCCTTCCGCTCAACTGTTCTCAACTCAGAGTTTCTCTGAAGTCTGAGTCTGAACTTCAATGCTCACAGGAGTCATCGCAGCGACGTCTTCTCACGGTCCACAACTCCTTCACTAATCCAATAATCCAATAATGCAATGGGTTCTTTAGTATTTTAGATGCCTCTAGTGTATTTTGTATGCACTCTATAATAATATAGATATATACTGACAGGTTGTCGAAACACCGTCCACAATAGCACATTGGAAGCGAGTGAACATGTAGAGCAGTGACAGCAGTGACTGTGAACTGAAAGGCATGTCAACTTGGGAATGTTTCCCAACACTGTGGTGGCTCGTGCCTGTGGCAATCCTTTAAACTTTGGACAAGGCTTCGGAAGCCTTCTGCAACACTAGGATGCAATTCACTTCAAGCAGCTTCGAGCCAAGTATATACTTGAGTTGATGGAACACAACACTGCCACTAAAGGCTTGAAGTGAGATCTTGTTGGACAAAGCCTGAAAGATTCAAGCTGATGGCATGCTTCCGAAACATGAAGCAAAACGCCACATGTCCATACAAGTCAATAGTTCTGGTGATACCTGTCACTGAAGCCGACTGCACGTCAGCTTCCTAGTACTTCTCGTTGCGAAATGGAGCCATCTGGTTCGCCAGACTCCGAGCACCTCTCTGCTGCGCCCTCTGGGCTGTCTGGCCGACCATCTGGTTGCGAGATTTCATCTTGCCTGGACATGTTGGAAATATCTGGAAGGAATTCATTTCCACGCTGCCTGTTTCTGGTTGGTGAAAGTTCGGGATCATCCTGAGGCGATGAGTCTAACCTTGAATGCAATTCTGGTGACTGAGAGGAGGAGCGACTGCTCCCTGAGTACGAGTAGTTCTCAGACTCGTCCTCTGCAGCTTCAGACGAGCGGCCCCTCTCTGGAAGAGAACTGGCACTTGCTGCGCTTGCTGCACTTGCTGCACTTGCTGCACTTGCTGCTGTGCTAGGCTGCACAGTGCTAGGCTGGGATGGCTGCCGTGGCGTGATGTTTCCTGCTCCGCTGGAACAGAAAGTGGAACTCGACAGAGTCGAGGAGCTGGCAGGCTTGGAGTCTACAGCACTGCTGGGAGGCTGGAATGCTTTTCCCTCACTCGGTGTTGACAGCGCATTTAGTGCATTTAGTGGTGTAGTGGCAGCTGTTGGCAGCTCCATCTGACTCACAGGGGACGGCCGTGCCGCATCATTCTGTAGCTGGGCTGCGGTCCTCATGGAAGATGGTGGCTCGTAGTCAGTCACCCCCACGGTAATGGAGCTTGTGGGGGGTGGAGGCCTTCGAATCCTCCCCATCGAACTGGTAGCTTGATGGAGCTGTGGCACTTTGCTAAACAAAGTCTGTTCGTCACTGCCGCAAAGCACAATTTCCCTCTTGTCCCAAACCATCGCAGGAGCAGAGCCCGTGGGAATCAAGTCAACTTTAGACACGAGCTGAGGCAGAGCCATAGGCTGTTTGTCAGTGGCTGGTTTCACAATTGGCCGGCAGTCCACCGCCACAGAGACATGCTGCTCCATGCTGGACGACTGCAACGGCTGCGAGTGACTTGCTGCTTCAACCTTTGGTGGCAAAAGATGCAGGGTATTTGCATGGTCGGATCCGCACGCAACAGTTGACACCGCCGCTGGATCTTCGGTACTTGGCTCTGGTTGATGTTCATGGACTGTCACTCCGTCAAGTGCTGTCTTTGAAGTATCAAGCCCAACTGGCAACGGCTTTGTTTCCTCCGCTTTCTGCTTCCCTCGTCGATTTGGTCCAGGAGATCTGGACCTTGGCCGTTCGACTGGTTTTGGTGGCTTTCTGGAGGGTGTAGTGGACCTTGTTGGCGCACGCGATGGAAAGGGAGAGATGTCTTCAAAGCATCGAATGCGCTTGAAATGCATGATGGGCATACAAACCTTTTGAGCGCTGTAAAGGACACCACTTGCTTTGGCACGTTTGGTTGAGGGTTTCAACTCTACCAAAGGCGGCGGGAAAGCTGTAGAGTCATCTTCGGAAGTTGGCTGACCAGAGGATGGAGATGACCTGTTTGCATTGAAGTAACCCAACACAGCTTGAACATGCACACATTCTTTTATGAATTTCATGGTGCTCGACTTCAGTTCAATTCGCGACTTTGCAAGGGATCGCCCTCCCAAACCAAATCAATCAAAGGATTACACATGATTCACACAACAGATTATGGCAGCACAAGCAAAAGCGCGCCTGCAAGTTAGGTCACGGCGTGGAAACGTGGAAGCTCCCATGTCACCATCCTTGCCGGAGACCTTCACAACCTCCGGCTCGCTGTCTCCGAGGCTCTCTCCTGTCTCGCTTTCAATCCGTCCAGGTAAAGATGAAACCTTTGGAGCACCTGTGTTCGGTGCTCGCACAGTGCTTTGCGCCACATCTGTACCATCCAACTGCACCTCTGTGGACTTCACTGGCATCTCAACCAAGTGTCCCATGGTATTGCTTCGCTTCTGCAATTTTCGTTTTGCACCTGCCAGAACAAATCCTGCCCCTGCTGCTTTGAGAAAGGTGGACAGCCATGACCTACCTTCCTGGAGATCATGGTCCTTGTAAACCTCAGCAGGAGCAGAGGAAACGGCAACAGCTCTCCGTACCGGGCCACTCTTCTTGGGTCGCATCCTGTGAAGTGCAATGCCGGCTGAGAAGGATGCAACTCCAGCAAGCAGCCCTGGATGTTGAGCCTTCACCCCACATTCTTTCATCAAAGATAGTGCTGAGGCCTTGATTGATCTGCCAGGGACCTTTGTAAGGTGTGCAGGATCACCATAGTCCCAGTTTCCGCACGCAATCTTTGCGTCTCCCAATTCACAGGGCGGCATGGTGGCTCACTTGTCAAGCCGTTTGGTGTCTTCTCAATGCTCGTGCTCTGTGGCAGATGGCTTGAGCCCAAGGACATGCAGTCTCTACTCCCAAAGGGCTAATATCCAAAAATTCAAGAATCTATTCATCTTCTCTCCACTCTAATTCTGGTTGGTCTTACTCTGAAGGTTCTAACACCATCAGGCCTCAGCAATTCGGATTGGGGCTGGACCTCAGACGAAGGAGGAGGCCACAGGGGTTGTACTTGGAGAAAACATTAGCAAAGCCAGCGCCTTCATCTGCAGCAGCGCGATAACCTTGCCCTCCCGTGTTGGCTTGCCTCCCGCCTTGGCAACACACATGTTCAATCTTTGTGATGTACATGATGTACACGAAGTCTCAAAGAATGCATCCCCCAAGATGTTCAAATCTAAGTGAAATGCTTTTCCACTTGAAAGCCACTCTGCCATTCACCCGCCCTGAGCCAAAACCACTTCAACAAATTTCTCGCATCCATTTCAATCTTGCCTCCGGGAACCAAATCAGGGATGCCTCAGCTGCACACGCTTGGGCAATCCCTTGCGGATCCATTCAAGATCACGATTTAAAAAGAAAAAAGGCAACTGTCAACACGGTGAAGGCTTGAGCTGTGGGAGATGAAGTGCATGTGGGAAGGTTGTTTGACTCCGATTTGCATCTGTGACTCTCATCTATGGCAGGCCGCTCCGGCACATTTACAAAGTTGTTGCATGCTACTAAAACTGATCTACGTCCTTTTACTAATTGCTAATCATGAATGAACGAGCCGTCATCGAGCTTTGTGCAACCAAACAAGCGCACTGGCAGAACAGCACTGCAAAGAGGCACGGTGGGTGAACAAGCTGGTGGAGGATGATGGGATTTTGGAGGAGGCGAAGCGCTGTCTCGAGGATACTCACAGCTTGGCTATCGTCGAGCTGGCTATAGGGGAGAAAGCGGCGTCGCTCCCCTGCAAGGCGCCTGACCGAAAGCACCCCCGGCAAGATCTGCTGCAGCCGAGGCAAGCCGGCATGGGCAAGCCACAACACAACAACAGGAGCTTGAGACCAAAACGGAGGATCACCGGATCAATCTGAGGCGAGTGTTCAACCCGAACCGAAAATAAATGAAAATACCATCATATAACATGTCTTTTCATTTCACCTACTGTACATTGGAGGCCATCGCTATTAGGTTGGAGGCAATCGCTATTCGGGTGGATCGGGTGGAGGCCATCGCTATTAGGGTGGAGGCCATCTCATGTCAATTCTTTTCAAATAGTTTCACCAGTGCTCTTGGACAAGTTGAGGAGCAGGCTCTCTTGTGCTCCCGACAGATCTCGCATCTCACTGCATCTGCATACAATTCAAGTGTAAAGCTTCATGATGCTTCATGTGTTATATACTCACAACAATTGCGATCAGTGTGCAACTGACTACAAGTCATATGTCAATTAATGGTCATTGTCTGACAAAGAAAACTTGAACTGTATGTTAAGTGTAATGCGAGTGTTGTGACTTGATTCGACCAGGCTGCGAAGCATACAAGCGTTGTGGCAGCACAGCATGGATCCAAACACAATGCAATATAAATTGTACGAGGAGCTGCCCGAGTTGCTTGCATCAGCTTGCAGCTTGCGTCTACAGAAACTCTAAAACATGTTGCAAAGCCTCGCTTCTACACCAAGTAAATCTGCAAGACCAGTTTTGCTTCCAGCCCTCACCCCAGAACTCATCCGTGGCAGTTTGCCGGGAGACTCAAATTCAGGTGCACTAACACTGACACGCTTTGCTTGTCCTCCGTCAAGCAAAGGCTGACTAAGGACGTTTATGCATATTGTGCGAGCGTGTCTACTGAGAAGTTCTGAAGTCATTTAATTGTCATTAGGATCCGGGTCAATACCCGGCTATATGTCACTCTGAGCTGCGACGGATGAAACCTGCTCTTCTCGCATGCTCGGCTTTCTCAGCCATCAGATTCCGTGCAAATTTTGGCAGGAATACAGGAAAAAGAGATTGGTGCCTTGATTCGGCTAGGTTTGAACATGGCCTCTTCAAGGAAGGCTCACAGCATAGCTTATGCTATGCTTATGCTTGTGTGGTTTATGCTTCCCAGGAAAGACTGTACTTCGTTGCTTGTCTTTGTCTCAGATCTTTCAGCTCATCTTCCACCTCGTTGATATGACGAGTAATCCAAACAAGCTGCTCTCTGAGTTCTCCATGTGCGTGAAGCATCGATTCTCTGCTTCTGGCATCCCATTTGATTGAACCTCCGCCCTCCTTCTTCTGCTTCTCTCCACGCAAGGACTTCAGCTGCTCATATTTCTCTCTCATGTGATTGAAAGATTCCTCGTCTCCACCCTTGTCTGGATGAAGCTTGGTGGACTTCTTTCGGTAAGCCCTCTCGATGTCTTTGTCAGTGCAATTTTGTCCATCGAGCCCAAAGAACTCGTAGTCTTCAGAGCCTCTGAGGGAGTTGCGTTCCCTTTCCTTTGCTTTCAATGTTTCTCCTCGAGTGTTCACCTCGTTGGCAAGCAAGGTGAGCAGCCCAGGCAGTTGCTCCGACACCAAACCGTCAAGCCACTGCTGAAGTGCATCGGCACTGCACTCCAATTCAAAATCAATTGAGTTCCGGAGAAAGCGCCACCGCTTTCCATCTGCTCTTTCGACTGCAACAGCTGTCTCACCTGTTCTAGTCTCTAGGACATAGACTTTCACTTGCTGAGTGTCCATCTCCTCTGCCGAAACCAAGGTCTTCTGCAATCCTGCCGAGCTTGGGCAAGGTCGGCATCATAGGACGGGAAAGTAGCCCCTACAGGATGGCCCCAGATCTATGTTATGTTCTATATGTCATGTTCTATTTCGCAATTGATGGCATCAAACAGGAACAACATGGAACAACTAAGCAGTGCTCACAGCTCCAGGGCTGGAAAAGATGTGCGATACTCAATGCAAGATCGTGAAAGTTGCATTCGCGGCATCCTCTCAACAAATGTGCATCTCTGCCATGTTGCTGAAAATCCAAAAACGTGTTACCATGTGTTACCCAAATGTCCACCTTCTGCTTGCAGGGGTGAAGTTTCCTCAGACGCGCCACTTACCTGTCAACCAGGTCAGCACTTCATTCGTTCATAATTGTTCAGTGACTCAGTGGCACATAGATTCTAACCGCTTCGCGACGAAGACCGCGACGAAGACTGCCCGCACCGGAGTGTGTTGGAAGCAGAGAGCGGGGAAGGATCGCGCGGACGCTGAGTAGAGCGCAGTTTTGACCGAGATGGACCAAGATATGTGGGCTCAACATAGGATCAACGTGGCTCAAAATAAGCGTTTTTGAGGCACCAAGTAGACGCAAAAGACTCCAAGATGGCAAACTTTTAATCATTTTTAATCTCTCTCGTTTTGAGCTGTTGACCAAGCCGTTTACAACACTTTTCACTAAAGGGCTAACGCGTGATGTGAAACATGTCTGTTCTTGCGGACTCAGCCACCTTTCCGTTCCCTCAGCCAAGGTCTAATTGCGTGTAGAGGTCTACTTGCAGTAATGCTGGAACTTCCAAACTGATTTAGCTGTTGCGAGCATGGATCTAAGTGTGTTCTTTGTGTTCTTCTTTTTTTCTTCTTCTTCCTCCTTTAAACAAGTTTTACCACGCCTTTAGTACAAAAATAATCACAGACCCGTAGAAAACGGTAAGACATATGAGTTGTACCATGTTTACCGCGAGTGTGTGGTTAAAGGAATGGGCGACCGACCCGGGAAAACGGTAAACAAAAAATATCGACTTTTACCGGCTTTACCGCACATGTGGTAAAAACATGTCAAATTGGGTGACCGACCCGGGAAAAACGTTTAAAAAAATAACTTTTGCCGCCTTTACCATAGAAGTGCATTGGGGGAACCCCGAAGCCCTTCTGTCTGGCATTCTATCTAGCATACATTGTGGCAGTCTATCTGGCATATATTCAGGCATCCTATCTGGCACATATTCTGGCATTCTATGTGGTAGAAGTTGTGGCACTCTATCTGGCATATATTCTGTTGGCATTCTATCTCGCATATTCTGGCATTCTATCCGGTGGAAATTCTTGCACTATCTGGCATATTTTCTGTCACAATTGCTGACATTCTCTGGCATTTGTTCTTTCTGATTCATTTCCGGTGGGGCCCACTGCAATCTAGCGCTCGAGGTTGAGGCCCGGTGGTGCCCACTGCAGGCTCTGGAAAAATCTAACAACCCTCACCTGGCAGGTGGGATTTTGTTCTTGCCAGTCTCTTTCTCTGTAGTCCCTATTGATATCTCATATTTCCGTATTGTTGGCACTTTCAAGCCGGGCATTTCACTAAAGAGCTGAAGCTACAGTAGTGTATCTGCGGCTTACTCCCCCGGAGCTTCTGCCACCTATTCAACCACAATGAAGCCACTGCCTCCTCTTGAGGAGGTGAGGCAGGTGGTGGAATGGGCCTGCATCCCAGTTCAGCACGCATTGTAAGGAATGTCCAATGTCAAACGCCCGCAAATCAGCCTTGCCTGTGCGCACGGCATGGGCTTGCCACTGCCTGCAAAGGCAAACAGCGAAGGCACAAGGGCGACATACATTCCAAATGAATGGCAAATGTCTTGCACAAAAAGCCGCTAGACACCCGCCTGCAACGGTGTTGACTGAGAAACAGCTCCTGAGCACGAAACGTTGCTGCTTTCTAGCAGACAGCGGTTCAAAAGTAACAGGTCGTAGCTCGAGAGTAAAGAGAGCAAAGAGAGCAGAAGCAAAAAAGAGCACACAAGGGAGTCAAGAGAGATAGAGAAAGGTAGTGAGAGAGTGAGAGTGAGAGAGCAGTGCCTCTGACACTGCCTTGATCCATTTGCTTGAGCTGCTTGTGCTGCGGTACACTTCCTTGTACCAGAATTGACATCTGGATTGTCCATCATTCTGGGAGGGAAGAACATGAACAAAAAGAGTAGCAAATATCTTGAGGACCACACCTACACTGCTTGTGGTATGGGGTGTGGAGAAGCTTCCACTTCCTACGGCATTGCAAAGTATTGCAAGTCATGCTGCGAGAGTGCTTGTGCTGATCCAAGCCAATTCGTAAGGACCTCACCACTTGCACCCTGCACCCTGACAATGTTTAAAGTCATATTGCTTAAACGTTTGCCCACTTCAATGTTAAACGTTCAATCCAAAGCTGGTGCGCAATTCTCTCGACCAAAGAAGGCCTGCGAGGAGTTCTGATCACCTCACTGACGACCTCATTTGAGGAGTTGACAGGCTCACCATACTCTGCACGTACTTCATGTCTAACTCTAGGCATCACTCGATACCGACTCAATTGCAGCTGGAAGAATATAACAATATATATAGCTATGTCTGCCTTGGCCTTTCCAATTACTATCTATAATATATATATATATAAGGTTGTGGTGCTCCGTGGAACTTTCAGGTAGATCTTGGGTCTCCAAATCCAAACCAAGACAGCAACGTTGTAGCGAACAGAAAAGCCCCATAGTAAGGTCCACACTCTTTCTTGCAAGTCTGGAGCACCTCAAGGTTTCGGTTTGCGTTACTGTCTGATTCATGGTGCAAACATGAAGGTCTGACAAAAGGGGGGCTGAGGTTGCCACCAGACCTCTGCGACCAGTGTGCCCTTGCACCAATGGAGTCTGTTTGAGCATGTCAATGTTAAGACTGCTACAAGCATTGTTGTTGGAGCATGCTCGAACAAAACAAGGCTGCCGCATGCCAAGGCGACTTGTGACTACTTGTGAAGGCGGGTTGGTAGTGGGCAGAAAAATGTGTACTCACAAGTGTGTCTCCGTTGCTTCATATGTAGTTGATGAGCGCTTTGAAGTCGCGACCTCCATCCAATCTCTGGAGTTCCGCACCGAGCACACTTTGGACGGTGGCAAACATGAGGAAATCAATAATGCCATTACTTTGCATCCAATGCGCACCCTCCATCAACGGTGAATGAAGAAACTTTAGACCAAAACCAATAAACGGGCTTCGGCGAATGAGTGACTGCAGATAGATCAAAAATGATCAAACGGATATCAGCACAAATTAAGAAGCTGGGTCATAAGCTGCCGAAGCAAGAACATGCGTGCGCAGAGCAGAAATCAAAACAAGTTGTGAGTCGAGATCGACATTGAATTGCATGTGTGTCTGTTTTTGCTATAAGAGGATCTCCAGCAGGCACCGGATTGACGTGAAGAGCAAGGAGGCTCCTTGCTCACGTGTGCTTTCCGTTTTGCATATTACAGTATTGAGTTGTTGATAAAGTTTGTCAAAGCCTGTAGGCCATGGGGCATTGGATCCCATGGGGTCCCCCTGTATTGCAAAATGAGGACCAGCTCACTGAATACGCCGGCCTTTAGTCTTCCATCTTTGTTTCGTATTCAGGCCTTCTTTCTCATTTGTGTTGGTTTCTTTGAGTCAAGGTTTAGGCGCCTCTGGGTTTGCTCGAAACTGTCAGTGCTGAGCGGATTCTGCAACACGCTTGGAGTGTGCCCCTCTCTCGCCTGGAAGTCTCGTCTCGCGGTCATAATTTTGGCACATTTATCACAGCGGGCTCACACAACCAAAGTGAGACCTACACCATCCGACACCTATTCACTATTATTCACTTGCGTACAAGAGTACGTTCATCCGAGCCCCTGCACGTATTTAGCAAAAAACTGTTGTGGTACAGTACAGTAGCAAGTGGATGCTTTCATGTGTGCATCCATGTACATAATATCCAATTTGTTTTTGCAGTGAGGTCTACTGATCAACCATTACTCCTGAAATCTAAAGGACACTACAATCAACGAGGACATCCTATTCTTCTCATGCGGTACGAATACCGTCATGTCCCTTTCTTATTTTCATCAGAACAAGCCATGCAGTGTTCACGTGCTTGGAGTGAGAAGTGAGAGGCAAGGTAAATCAATAGATGTAGACCTTCTGCATCTTGGATGCTGTTGTAAAAAGGCGTTCAGAATCTGACGGCCTCTTCACACTGTTCTTCAGCGTTGGAGAGAATGCTGCATCCACTCGCCGTACAGCCTGAAGGTGTTTGGCCTGTTTCATTGCAAAATAGAGTGACTGGTTTCTCTAAGTGCAGTGCATCTGCGTCTTCAGATGCTTGCGCTGTCTGGATCCTGACCATGTTTGTATGCCGACTCGCGTTGGCCGAGCTGAACATCTGTTTGCTTCAACATCCAGAAGCCGTCCTTACAACGAGGGTTGGCAAAACTTATCCTCCCTTCTGAGGTTGACCCAACGTAGACTACGCTTGGCTAAACTGAGTGACGGCCAAACTACAAGTCCTGTGACTTGCTTGACCTTGCTTCACCGTCACGTAGCCGGAACTTGTCTGGGCCCTGAGCAGTCTCAACCGATCTGGTGCGACTCTCAGTCATTGGTTCGAAAGCTAAAGGCTGTGGCCACAGTGGAGAGCTGGTGGACGCCACGTGGCCACCAGAGGGTGGATAGGTCTTGGCACCTCAACGGCTTTAAACTATCCCAATGTGGAAGTATGCATTGATTATCAGGTGTGGCATGGCTGAGGCTTGGGGGAATAAGGAGTACCTGAGAAGGGGGGGATGAAAGCCAGCTGCTCCCTGTCTCCACTCGAGCGCTCAATGCCCATTGTCCAATCAGTCTCCAAAGCCCTTCATGATGCTAATGATGCGCTACTCGGCGTCCATTACATCACTCGCATCACCAGACCTCATTTTCTCTGATTTTCGGACCCTCGCTTTTGAGCGCTCTCCCCCACCAAGCTCTGCGTCCACCCTATCAAAAGGTCCTGCTCAGCGAGCACCCCACCCCCACACCCCCTTAACTCACTTCGTTTGCCCTAGAAGCTCAAGCCTAGCCTACCGGCTGGCTTTCGTAATTTACTGCATCTACATCTATATATATATATATATACATACATATATACATATATATATATATATGTATATATCGTCTTTGAAATTAGCATGGTGGACCTAGGATACCCCATTTTGTACTATAAAACGGTTTGGGTTTACAAAATGCACGGCGCATCATTTATTCAAGTATCGAGTTACTACAACATGACTGGTTTGCACCACTCTCGAATGCTGATTTCTTACAAAATGATGGTTCCCAGTGGCAAAATTTGGGAGGTATGAGACATGGTGACATGGTACTTCCTATATATATATACTTATTTATACATACACTGCTTTTTTGCAAAACGAAACACTGTACGCACAGACCATGACAAAGCAAGAAAATCCATCATCCGGGCTTCCATGTGATGGAGCCTTGATGTCCATCATAAGCTGTCTAAGTAAAAGTTGCCGGCCAGGCACTGGAACCACTCAGATACTATTCATCACATGTCATCACTCATCATGCTCCTAAATCTGAAGACAGGGTTTCGAACCCGGCGAGGTTATGGAAGTGCTGGCTCCAGCCTGGGACTTTGCATTTGGCTTGCTATACTATCCAAAAACTGTGCGTGTTTGCCTTGAAAGACGAAGATGGTCTTCCCGGTGGAGGGTTGCTGTACCTCAAAAAAGGCCGCACTCTGCCCTCCAACCTAGAAGCGATGGCCTCCAACCTACTAGTGATGGCCTCCAACCTAAGAGCGATGGCATCCAACCTACTAGCGATGGCCAACCTACTAGGGATGGCCAACCTACTAGCGATCGCCTCCAACCTACTGGCGATGGCCTTCAGCCTAAGAGGGATGGTCTCCGACCTAAGCGATGACCTATGGTGCACGAGATGAGTACAAAGAGACTCATCCGATCAGAACAATTACAACTCATGCTCTGTGCCAAGCTGCAACAGCGGTTGCATTGCTCTCAGTAGGAAACCACCAGTGCGCAACCCTAGGGAAAGCTTAGGGGCATTACAACCTTTCACAAGTGGCAGTTGCTGACATGATGCCGCCTTTAACGTACTATCATGAGAATCTCAGTTCTAGCCAGTCACAGGTTACGTTTTTCCAGTAGACTGTTGTTGTCAGCTGTCTGAAGTGGCTGTGTTTCTGTCTGCTTGCGCTTTAGAGCCTGCTTGACGAAACATCTCATTCAGAACAATTATATATGAACAAATCCAAGTGAATTGCCAAATACATTCCAATAAATCAGCAGCTTTCAGTCATCGGGTGATTTTCCTGGTCGACCCTGGCTGCTCGCAGCACATGCTGCAGCAGGAGAATGTTGAGTTGCCACATGGCAAGCGAAAAAAGGCTGATGCTGCAGCCTTTCAAAGGCAACAGTACAGCACAAAACTATTGCCTGGACCCTCACCTCAAGACCAAGTTGCCAACTGGGGCAACAAACAAAACAGAAAGTGTGTTGTTCAGTCCACCAAGAAGAAGTCTCGCAAGAATTTCAAAGAATATCAAGGTTGCGTAATTTGTGTTGAGTCTGGCAAAGAAAGGTGGTATGGAGGGTTGGCATTGATTAGCTCCAATCAGCGTTGCCAGTTGCTGGCATTGCTTTGAGTTCCTCCTGCGATGGTGCCAAATTCAGATCACCAATCCATGGAGACGCTGGGGTGTCACTAGACGAACTGTTCCTGTTGTCTCAACTTACAATCGGCATCAATCGGCTGTCCTCCTTAAGCTTCAATTGCCCTGAGCCAGCGTTGCTAAACTCATCCTTCCCCAAACAGTCATTCAGTCCAGGTGTGCAGCATCAACCACTGACACGCCGGAACACATCATTCTCACTGGCTGAGCTCCACTCTGGGTGTGTAGCTGCCTGCAATATGCTCAAGAGCTTGGGTACAGGTCATCAAGACTGTGTCTCAACATACCTTACTATTCGGCTCCCTGGGAAATAGACTACTCAAGAATGCTACTGTTGAATCAGCACCTGGATCCTTCCAGTCCACCGAATTTGATGCAAGACAAGAATGTGTGTGGGCCTCTTTAATGAGAACCCTTTGTATAAAGGGGGCCTTGTTAAGAGGCCCAAACACTTTTTCATATCTTTTATCTTCTCTCAATGACCAACGTCTTTCCTGTCTTGATGCCTTGCATTCTCGATCTCAATTGAGGTGCTGGCTTGTTGCTATTTCTTGCTGGCCCTCGTCACTGGTAAGGTGTTGTTGCACCTTCTTTCAAGTCAAACAAAATGGATGCAGATTGCCTACATGCATTTCAGAAAAGTTGATGAAACAAAGTCTTGAATCCAATCAACCGACCATGCATTTTTCCATTGGGACGGATGGGCGTGCAAACTTTCTGAAGCATTGCCTGTACCGTGCACTGTCACAACTTGAATTGCAACATGTTGCAATGCCACAATCTGTCAGCCGCAGGAAAACTGCTTGGGCAGGCGTCGTCTTATCAAACTTGTACAGCAAGATTCAATTCATCCCTTTGGCCAAATCTGCACGTTCTACCACAATCCCTTTGCGCTCGTGATCAGAGCTCAATGTCGAATGGTTGATAAATCAATCTTGAGCTCCTTCTGCTTTGGCACAAGCAACCTGAGAGTGAAACAGGCATGCAGAATACAACACCAAGGCAGCTGAGCAATTCTTGAAAAAAAAGTCAGGTTTGTGGTTTGCTGAAGGGCAAGCCAACGCTGCCTCTAGCAAATCACAAGTATGTTCAATTGAGGCAAGCACTGGTCAATAAGTTTTTCTGCTTCTTTCGGGTCGACGGCATTTGGCTCTTGCAAGAAGCCGGAGTCCCACCTTATACGCTGAGCCAACACTTTCTACGTAATCCTGAGAACACAGCATCCTCCCAATCCATAGTTTGCCCCCTGGCTGGACAAGATTTCGGTCTAAAAAATGCGATACCTTATGGTTTGTCGTTCGCCACCTTGGGACCTTCGTCCTCGCAGAGTTCACCTGTATTGCCCACATCCACACAAATTGTTCCCCTGCCTCGCCATCTTTAGGCTTAGCTTTCTGCCGAGGCACAATCTTTCCAGGATCTGTGCCTGAACAAGGCCCAATTCTTTTGCGTTTGCATAGGAGACATTGCCTTCCTTGGCTGTACACTGCTTTTGGTCATCGGACATATTTGGACAGGATTCATCATGCGACAGATGCGACAGAGCTTCCCCACCATAGCAAACCATGGCATAACGGCTGCGGAACTTGCCCGGGAATAAATTCTCCAAGCGATTCTCAATCTTCTTCATGGCCTCAACTGCAGGTCCTCTTGGATTGAATCTCATGTGACTGTGTGCATTCTCATGAAAGATCGAAAAGGATCGAAAGGGAGCAAAGGGAAAATGGCAAGACTTCTGTGTTGAATCGAACGCAAGTCAGGCTCCGAGACACCGAAGCAAGAGAAGAGAGCAAGAGAGCAGGAGTCGCCGAGTCTCCGAGCACCCAAGTGACTCGATAAAAGATGTCTAAAAGTCCAGGTAAGAGAAGAAGGCTAAGGATGGTTGCAAGCCGAAATGCAGGAAGACTTGAGCCACAGTGTGATTGCATTGGCGATGACTAGTGACCACGCTGGGCATTTGCGGAAAGTGAAGTTGTGTTTTTGTTACTTTTGAAGTTGTTCCAGGCAACGGATGTTGTGGAGAGCACGTCTTGTATTTGCAAGTGGAAAGCTGAATTCCAGGTGCTTGTGGTAGCAAGGCGACCAAGTCTCAAAGCGACACAAGTCTCACAACGGCACATGAGTGCCAAGAAAAAGCTCCTAGTAGCGTCCTTGTTCCTAGTAGTAAGGCCAGGAGCCCCTAGTAGCGTCCTTGCTCCTAGTAGCGATGCCAGGAGCCCCTAGTAGCTTCTTGTTCCACTAGAGTCTAATCTACTAAGGACATAGCCTTATAGCCTTGAATGGGTCGGCCCCATTTGGGCCCCGATTGGTTATAATGCTTTTTGTGGTGTTGGAAGAAGAGGGCATCCCAAACGGTTATGCAGTTATGCAGGTTTCACGCAGGTGTCCTAACCCATGTCTACCCTGTGATCATCTTAGTCTTCGCAGATCTATTTTGTCGGATGATGCTCACATGATGCACTCAGGTGTGAACCACATGGAGGCGTAGAGACGCTGATGACCCCTCCCTCGGCTTTAGAGGACGCACCATGCCCTCTCACTCAGTGAAGTGAACACGCCATGAAAGAGTTTCACGAACGTGCTCATGCGGAGCGTGGGTACGTATAGTATAGTATTTGCGCATACCAGCGACTTTAAATACCCATCCTCATGCTGCCTCGTTAGTTTGATTTGCTGTCCTCCACCTATTTTGGAAAGAGCATCAGCAAACGATGGCGAAAGTTGTTCTCTCCTCAAATCCGTTCATGACATTTGATCTATGAAGGCTCTTCGGAACAAAAGCGGGACAGCGGGCGTTTCTTTTCCTTTTGGCTCCCTTGTAGAGGGGTCTGCAATCTTCTGGATGAAGAGTATATAGAAAGAAGAAGAAGAAGAAAATGATGATGATGATGATGATGATGATGATGATCTCGAAAACCAACAAGCGCTACTACGGTTCTAGGGCTGGAGGCAACAAAAGGCAACAGGAAGGTGTCGGAGACTTGGAACCGCCCAGGATTTGGTGCACCTGCCACACCACTTCACCTGAATTCACACCGCTAACGGACGCGTAAAGTAGAGCCTTTTGAAAGTCCCAACCGGCGGTAGAGCTTCTGGGTTTTGAAATTCAAGAAGCATCTTGGGGTTCGATATGTCTTCAAATCTGGTTGGGTGCAGGAGAAAAGTTGCTTGGAGGTGTCTGAGTCTTGTGCCGAGCCGCTTGGAACTTTAAATCTCCAGTTTTGTCTCGCATCTCAATGAAGTTCTCGAGAGCCATGTCACAAATAGCATCTGCACTTGGCTTCCTTTCAGCCTCGACCGCTGCAAAGCATTTTGCAATGTTTTCATCTGTGCACTTCTCGAGAGAAACTTGCCCTGAGCTGCAGCAGAAGTCATCAATATGCTTGCTGAGCCATAGGGTATCCTCAAAACCGCAGTTGCAGCCCTGACCAAAAAAGGGCACCATGGCATGGCAGGAGTCTCCAATCAAGAGCACCTTCCCTTTCGCAGACCATTTTGAAGTGCGGACTGTGCCCAAAATGCCCGTTGGATTCTGCACTATCTGGCTCACTAAGCTGTCTAGCCCTCCCACTAAGGGAATGGCCTCAGCATAGTGCCTCTTGCAGAACTCAGCACACTTGTCTCGGCCTTCTGGAGTATCAGAAAAAGCTGCAAAAGACTCAGGGCCCTCGTTGTCCATGTAAATTGTGCCTGTGAAAGAGCCATCTCTGTTGGCCAGTGCCATAAGCATGTGGTCTCCTCTTGGCCAAATGTGCAATCCAAATGTCCCATCACAGGGCTCACTGCCATCTTCGCCTTTTGCACCAAAGCCATCCCCTTCAGGTTTGGGAAACAGAACTTCCTTGTAGCCCCGAGTCAACAAGTCCTCTGTGAAATCGGTCAACCCACAGCGTTTGAGCGCATAGCGCGCCCTCGAACCTGCGCCGTCGCATGCAATCACAGGGCATTCAGCATTTACCTTCAAGCAACCTTTTCTGCTCCGAAAGTGGAGGCAGGATCCGACGGTTCTTTCATCGGAGAAATCCGAGCTTTCAACAAGTGCATGATCAAAATGCAGCTCCGCCCCAGCTTCTGCTGCAGCATTCAAAAGAAACTTGTTCAAATCGAGCCTTGATACTGAGTAATTGTGCTCAGTATCATCTTTGCCATACCTTTGAAAAAGGACCTTTCCCTCAGGCATGTGTATGATGCGCCCCATCACTTTGGTTGTCAGATTGCTGACGATGTCATTGTAAAGGCTTCCACCAAGAGCTTTGATTGCTCGCAGCCCTCTACTTGTGACGCTCAAGTTGATTGACCTCCCTGCACTTGGAATGGATCTGATGTCTTGATATCTCTCATACACATGCACCTTGAAGCCCTTCTTCAGTAGAACCACTGCACACAGCGATCCAACCAGGCCCGCCCCCAGGATCACAATGTGCCCCATGCCACCAACCGTGACCTCCTGCAGGTGTCTCACAATGGCTGCCTTGCGTCTTCATTCCTAAATGAACCGCTGGGTTTACAGTTTACAGCTTACAAGATAGGCAAAGAAAGATCACTCCTTGAAAAGAAAACTCTAAGAGAATTGAGTTCAGTGAGCAAGTCTCCTTGGCATCAGAAAAGTCCCCAGTTTCATTGGATTTGTACCCTGCAGCTCGCTCAGCCGGTGTATTGGCCAAGTCTTCCACTGCCATGGCAAAGAATCTTCGATTGTTTGATCAGGAATTAGTAGCAATGGCCTCCAACCTAATAGCGATAGCCTCCAACCTAATAGCGATGGCCTCCAACCTAAGATGTGTTGTGATGTTTTACTGTTTCACGTTCTTTTGACTTACAGTATTTGAATGTGCTTCCACATGTGTCAATGTATCCTGATCAATCGTGTGAAGCACATGGGGCAAAGGGTGTCATTGTGCCATGATCATTGGTTGGTCTGTATGGCTTGAATGACCCAACACCTGCACAGAAATTGCAGGACCATTCAAAGTCTGCAAAGAAAAGCATGTGACACTCATCAGCCCATCGGCCTCCTCTGGGGTTAGGGTCAAAGGATTTCCGCACCAATCACACTGTGCCTGAATCGTTTCCTGAAAAGAGTGAGCCAAAGCATCCAAAATACAACAGAATGGTACGGTACAAGGTTTGAGTGTCCTTGTCGAGAAGAATTTTCTGCACCTGCGCTAAGTCGCTAAGTGGTACAGTAGGTGATGCACATGGTTTTACGACACTTTCAGAAAGAGTGGTTGCAGAAGAACAGCAAGTCCATCAGTTCAAAAGCAAGTAAAACACCTCCGACTTGCCCAGCATCATAACAGCCGTGGCCAGCCTGACATGTTCGGCTTAGGTTACACGTCTAGGTAGATGTTATATTGACGACGCTACAATTCTAAAAAAGTCATAAATGAAAAGCCTGTTGCAAGTTGCTACGCTTACAGTACTGCCACGCACTTGGAGATCTTGGCAACAATTCGAGTCTTGATCATGGTCGCAGCGTTTAAGCGAGCAGCAAATGCAGGTCCAGCGGTCATCTCTCAGCAAACTACAGCGGCCAAGCTGCAAAAAGAATGCACAGACTCGCAATGCGTATGAAGATGTTTACGCATTTTTTTCTGCCTGGACTTCGAACACTTGCAGCGAAAGGTTGGTTCCTGCTCAGCTTGGAATTTGCCACGAAGTTCGCGCATCATGTGCTTGCAAATATCCTTATTCCACCAATCTTGCCAGCACAGAATGCAATGCAACGTATCGAACAAAAAAATCCTCCCACCGAGATGCACACACGCAGGCAGCCAGAAGCTATACATAAAAATATATACAGTATACATAAAGTGAATAAACAACAATTGTCTGAGGGTCCAACATGGGGACGAGACAAGCCGCTGGACTCCATCCGATCAAATGTATTGATGTTGGTCTCGTCAGTCGCAAGAAACACCGAGATGCTAAAGTTCTGTGGAACTGTACTTGTCAAAGTTATCAGATAACATGTTTGAAGGTGTTTGCTTTGGCAAACTTCTTTGTAAACAGTACAAGTAGTTGAGAGTTAAAGCCATTTCCGAAGGTTGGTAGTAGAGGTTGCCAGGTGGTAAATTGCTTCCTTTTGAAAAAAAATGTAAAAAATAAGAAACAATACAATAGATGAAAATATTCAGGACCAGAATATGTTGCTGATGTTTGACAACAGCACCGCCTCAACTACTGCCACTTCAGCCTCTTCCCATCCTCGCAAATTCCGTGCAATTGAGCATTCGTTTCACATCCATTGGGTTTAAAGGCCTTTGGATGTCATCTATCAGTGGAAAGACTAAGCGCATCACCAGGAAGAAGAGTGACGAGCCAACCCTCGGCTTGCTTGACGCAGCCTGCCTTGAAACAGGTTCTAGCCCAATTCATCCCAATTCTATTGGTAGTGTGGCTGGACAATCCGGAAAGCTTCACCGGGTGTCCGAGTTGTCGCTTTACTACGAGCCGCTGAATCTGCAAGTCTTTACTTGACCAACCCTTGTCAAGCAAGAGAAGGCCAGCAAAGTGTTTATGTCTGCTGGAATCAAAGACTACTACTACTAAGACTAGTACTACTATTAAGACTACTACTACTACTGCTACTACTACTACTAAGACTACTACTACTACTACTACTACTACTA